AAAGTTATGTTTTTTTTTTATATAATATTATGTTTTATAAAAATATATTTTATTTAGATATTATGTTTTATTTAAATTATATTCTAGAAAAAAAAAATTATAACATGGAAAAAGTTGATGTTACATTTTGTTATAATATGATGATCATTTCTCTACTTGGTGTTATAACATCATTGTTTATGTGGCATGTGAGTGATACTAATTTGATGTTATGAATAGTTGTTCACAATTGTAAGGCTATGAGGAGTGGTCACACTCACCCCATCAGAAAAGTGTTGCCACATGTGCGTCACGTCAGCTTCACACCCAACCAACCACCAACCTATTAAACACTGAAAATGGTTACCACTCCACAAATTCTTTCTTTCTTTTTTTTTTTAGCATTATATTAAATAAAAAACAAAATACAAACCATAATTTAAATAAAAAACACACAAACATTAAAATTAAAATCACATTACATTAATATAAAAAACACAAATTAAAATTCTTAAATTCTTAAAAAAAACATAAAAAAATTAAAATGCTAAATTACTTAAAACCATAAATAAAATCCTAAATTACTTAAAACCATTGAGATTAGAATCAAAATTCCATATTTCTCCCGGACTTGTCATTGAATTTTAAGAAAGATCGCAAGATTTTCCGGGTCGAGATCCGGTTGGGGCTTTGTGTTTATGATTTGAAGATCGGTAAGAGCTATTTTTTGGCGATTAGATGCCTCCGATGATTCGTATTTTTTTCTAGAAAAACTATAGTTTTATCTATGGATGTCGCAAGCTCACTGTCGCTAGTTGCCGGTGCTTTTCCGCTTGAAGACGCTCCCTTTCTCGCTTTGTCCCGTCGCGGTGGTCGACGAAGTTGGACGACACCAAAAACTTTGACCCGATTGTGAGTTGGCGACATCCCTGTTTTGGGATATGAAAATCCAAGCTTTCGCTAAAGCTTCCTCTTCGTCTTCGTTCCATGCGGTAGTTTTTTTTTTGGATCTTTGGTTTTTTTTTGCCTTCGACGAGTTGGTTGTTATGTGTCTTGGACCCGTTCGTCGTCGTCGTCATTGTCGAGATTTATAGGTTGAGATTGAGATTGTTGAAATTGTTGAGGTGTAAAAGAAGTTTGTTGAAATTGTTGAGAAGATTGTTGAAAGGCTTGGAATGGTAGTTGATTGAATTGTTGTGGTTGTTGTTGGTAGAAGTTTTGGGGGTATGAAGTGGTGAATAAAGGTTGTTGTTGGATAGGAGAGGTTAACAATTGCATGTAGCTAACATTTGCATTTGTAGTGTTTGGGGTGTTTGAATTGGAATCGATGTAGAGAGAACTATATATATATATATGAGAGAGAGATAAGGTTTTTTTGTAAAAGGTAATAAAAGGTAGAGAGTTTTTTGAAGTGTAATTTGTAAGTAGCGGATAATTTATAAATGTAGATGGTTGTGTTTAAATTGTAAAAGTAATTTTTTTTTAATGTGTAAACGGTTATATAGCCGTTTGTTACAAAATTCCGAACGTAAGAAAATGGAGCAATTTGATTGGGTGTCTACTCGCGTCTCCGAAGCCACGTCGCACGCAGCCCAGCAGCTTTGGAGGCGGTGTTCACGCGTGGAAGAGGCTGTCACCTCAGCCCAAGACACGTGAAATGCCTCTCATACCGGGTAGCTTAAGAATTATTAGCGGCATAGGAGATAATATGGATTCCCCGATCCCGATGATATGTTGTTACACGTCAATTTACGTGGGGTATGACTTTGCAAATATATTTTATTTACTTTGATCGTTTTATGAATTTAACTTGTTTAAATTTAGAAATGTAACTTTTTAATCAATGAAATATAGAACAACACATGGATTATAGATATAGGTGATATGATATAGACGCGACAGCCTTCAAATCTGTTCCTAGAAAGTGGGGTCCTTGATGTTAACATGGATATTGAACATACACTGATCCACCGTTTGTTACAGTACACTTCCAAGTTCCAAGCACCAAACAAATTTCTAAAGAATCTAAAAATACCCACACAACATTATCTATGATGCACGTTCTCACATGCAATGGCTACCTTTTATTCTCATCGTGTTAAGGGGTGATAATTTATGAGTGTTACTAGCTCGGATTTTTGATTTTCGGGTTTTTTTATATTTAAAACTAAATATAACCAAACCATATAGTTTCGATTTAATTGATTTTGATTTATTTGGTTACGGTTTATTCGGTTTGATTTATCAGTTAAATTGAATGAAATTTCGCATGTAAAAATAAATATCAAACTAAAATACTTATTAAACTTTTACCAAAAGAAAAAAATACACCGATACATAGCATTTAATATTCGTTTGTTTACTTTGTGTTGTCTAAAGTGACGATTTAGCTATACAAATTGTAGAGGTTTGTTAATATATCCTTAGTCCTATATGAAAATAAAAGAAAGAAATTTAATAAATTGGTTGTTGTTTTTTTAATACAAAATAAAAATAATTATAAATTTTTATTGGTTAATAATTAAATAACGTGTTATGAAAATCTTTTTTAGTAACTAAAATATTAATTTATAGAACTAAAGTATAAATTATAAAGATATATTAATTAAATAGTTTTTCGGTTTAGCCAATATAATAAAAATTAATCAAAATCAAACCGAATATATCTTTATTCAATTAATCAAACCAAATATATAAATATTCACCAAGCACAAAGGAAATCACCAAAAGATGTTAGTCTTTACTTGTATTAAACACTTTTAAACCCTTAAAATAAGTTATACTAGATAAGCTTTAAATGAGAAGTAAGTTATACTAGATAAGCTTTAAATGAGAAGCAACTTAAACATTTAATTCTTCACTACATAATGCAAGAAGGAGAGGAGGGGAAGAGCATGGGAGCTCTCGGTTTTAAGGCCAAAAAAAAAACAAAAACAAAAAACAAAAAAAAAACTAGCCTAGTTTTTGTTCTAATTCTTCTTTGTATATTTACACTCATAAAATGAAGCTCACACTTTCAATAATGAAAGACATGACTTGTAAGCAACATGTGGTGCAAGACATGGTTAAAACAAGCAATTCACTTATATTCTTATGATGTGGGCGTTACGAGAGAGAAAGAGAAGTGTTAAACATTTCTTATTATTTAAATGGATATGAATATCCTAGTGGATTTCTATTAGTCCAAAATGTAATGCTATATTTGTATGATCATCTCATATTATATAAATAACTAGTTATACTCATTTTTATTATTATTTTTAAAAAACAATGATTCATCAATTTAAATATAAGTGTTATAATATTTATTAGTAATTAAATTCTAATAAATAAACAATAAGTAGTAACTTATTCTATGATAATATATTATTAATAAATATCATTTTATAATAACTATCTTTGACTATTGGATATATAGATTTTTGAGCAAATTTTACCTTTAAAGCCTTAGAAAAGTTATTCTAGTTTCCATAGTTCATCTTCATTTCAAATCCACCTCCAGTTTCTATCAAAGCTTCATAAATCGTCATTAATATTTTCTGTAGCTTTAAAAAACGTGAATGATAAAAAAGAGGAAGAAGGCCAGGCTTTTGGTTTTTAGATTTTTTACTCTAATGATCATTTAGTCCCTCAAGTTTCAAATTTCACGCCTAAGTCCCAAATAGCGTCTATAAATCTGCCTAGTTTCATTTTTCTTACAAAAGAACTAGAAAATAAATTCTTAACATACTTGGTCCCAAGTCCCAACTAAGTCAAGATAAGGTCAAACTCGTGTTTCATGAAGTTGGCAATTTTAGTCCTTCTAGTTCAAATTTTTTGTTTAATGTTATGATTGATCTTCTAGTAATTCTTAATCACTTTAAACTTATTATACTTATTTATGTAATTTATTTTTCATATTTAATTCATTTATTTTTAAAATATGATTTAATTTTAATTCATTTAGTTTTTATAGTTTTACTAAAAATGCCAAAAACAGTTCTACTATGTATGGCATGCTTTATGCTAGACCTAATGTATCTTATATATTAAGCATGACAAAGTATATACCAATCTAACCTACTTGAGATTCACTATAAGGTTGTAAAAAACAATATAAGTATTTTAGAAGGACTAGAGATATGTTCATGGTACATAGAGGTCTTGAGGGTTACATAGATGATAGCTTCCAAATCAAACATGATGATTTCCAGTCCCATTGAACATTTGTATTTCGTATCAACATAATTGTTGTACGCTGGAAGGGTTGAAAGTAAGACAAAGTCGTTGATTCATCTACTATAGTTGAGTATCTAACAACATGTGATACATCAAAGGATGTTTTCTTAATGAAGAAGTTCATTTTGGATCTTGAAGTGATCTCCAATATCTCCAAATCAATTGAAATCTTTGTCACGATAAAGTGCTATTGCGCAAGCAAACTTAAAGCCTTGTATGTTTTTTTACAGCTAGTTTCTTGCTAATTTTTTCTATAACATATGCAATACGGGCAGATAAGATTGCCGACTACTAAAAGAAAAGGGAGTGAATGACGAAGACTAAAAAAACGTCGGTTGTTACTTGTTAGAGAAAAACAAAACAATAAAAAGTATATTATTTTAATACCAACTATCAAATATGTATCTTTTAATATGATGTTTTCTATTACAACGTTGAAATGAAAATTGAAAAAGGCTGTGAGGAAGTCGCCACACGTGGAATTTGGTTAGACCCACGTTGCATATGCCCGATGCCGAAATCGTTGACTCTATCTTACCAGTCAATGGTCAACATTATATCATTTGGTCGGTTTCATATTTACTAAAACATATAAAATATAATCTTTGATCCTTTTATCTATTAATATATTAATTTATCATATACTCTAAACTTATCAAACATTTATATACACCTAATCTAATAATAACGACAACAAATAACAAAAAAAAAAAAAAAATGTTCTACGATCTAATAACCTGATTTTATTTATTGTTAACACACTAAATAAATAATATCGAAAAATAAACCACGAAAACGAGCTGCGAACAGTTTGAAAATTGTAATATTATACGTATAAATGTTACATGTGTGTCATATTTATATAAAGTAAAAACGACAAAAACTCTCTTGAAATTCCTAAATTAACCCCCGAAAAAAAAAAATTACAACGCATTGATGAAGATCTTTCCCCAATTTCCCCTTCTTCGTTTAGTTAAGATTTTGGATTAGACCCGGGAGTCTATGCATAATGTCCTCAAAAGATGGACGAAGCTCCGGATTGCTGTGTATTTTAATTTCACAAATAAATAAATTATTTTGTATTTAAAATTTGAATGACATTGCTATCAACAGGTAGATTTTTAAGAAATATAATATTGTTTAAGAGAAATGATTACCTTTGCCAACAATCTTGGATAATAGAGGAGAGAGATGGGTCTAGATTCTCTGGTAAGTCCAACCGCCTGTCCATGAACCCCACAACTCCAACAACCTTCACACATTAAAAAAAAAAATTAATTTATGAATATAAAAAATTTACACCAGTGTAAAAGTTTTTTATTTTATTTTTTTTGTAACAAGAAAGTTATAGCATTGTACTTTTTTTTCTTATTAGGATATAATTTGAAATTTTGGTTTTTGGATTGTTTCTATGAGGACTACAGTAAAAAAGTAGAGATACCTGTAGGGGATTCATATTGCTCCAAGGGATGCATTGTGTGACTAATTCCCAGAGTATGATTCCAAAACTAAACACGTCGGATCTATTGATCAACACAGAAATAACTTTTTTTTTAGCATTTTTTATAGAACAAAAGTCAAGTTTTTATATAAAATAAAATAAAAAAGAGCTCACTTTTCGTTTGAAGGTTCGTTTCGAAGAACTTCGGGTGCCATCCATTGAGGCTGCAGAATATATATCATATAACAATAAATAAATAAATAGAATCATTAATTAAAAATTATAAAGAAGAATAGTAGAAAGAGAAGATTTTTACAGTGCCTCTCCCTGATCTAGCGGTTAAAAAGGTTGCATGTTTTAACTTTGACAAGCCAAAATCTCCAACCTGTTGACAAGCTAAAAGTAGTTTGTGTCATGATTAGGGAAATAATAACATGACAAATCATGTTAAACTGTGTTTGACAAATAACACAAGACATGAACTTTCTCAATAAGACATAAATGCCCCCCTCATCCTGATCATCAAAAATAGTTTGTCCAGGGCATTCAGGGAAACACTACCTTCACAGACCAGTTCTTGTCAACAAGAAGATTTGAAGACTTGAGGTCTCTGTGTACAATTGGAGGATTTCTATGGTGCAAATAGTTCATACCTCTTGCCTACAATAAATAAATAAATAAATAAAAGTCGGTTTTTTTTTTTTTTTTTTTTAACTTTTAAGGTGAGTGGTAAAAAAGTTGATAATTAATATTTGAGAAAAAAAAAAAAAAACTTACGACATCAGCAGCCATCCTTAAACGTCGTCTAATATCTAAAGAGTTACCACTATTGTGTAGAACATTAAAAAGGCTTCCCCTATAAGAATATATATATAAAAAATAAACTTGATTAGGACTCCTTGAGCTAATTTTTTTTAAAGTAATTATGCATTTATTAGATTCTAGTTTTGTAAAGATCTTTATAATTACCTGGGTAGTAACTCTGTGACCATGGCAAGTTTATCTTGTGAACACACAGATCCCATAAAAAGTAACACATTTGGATGACGGAGTCTCTTCATTATATCAATCTGAAGTTAAAAACACAATTCATTAAACTTCATATCCAAGTCATACATTTTATGGGTTTACTGAAAATAATAATAATGATAATAAAGTAGAAGTGGTTAGTGGTTATACCTCTTTATTGTAGTCCTGCAAAGCCTTCTCACTATATTGATTACCAAAATATACTTTAACTGCAACATCCTGATTCAAGGAGTAACAAAAAGTTTTTAAAAAAAAAATACTAAAAGAATTTATTTTTCAATATATGGAAAGTTGTAGTCTTGAAGTATTTACTGATCCATTCCAGATTCCACGGTATACCCTTGCAAATGATCCTGAAAAAGGTAAGAAATTTATTAATATTTTAATTTTTCAGAAGCATTTATGAATAACTTAATTATCACATCCTTACCATGTCCAATTTCTTCCTTGAAAATAAGATCTTCCCATCTGATTTCACAATCATCTACAAAGTTAAGATCATTTTCAACCTCCAATTCTTTTCTGAAAGATGAAATATTCAACTGATGAACTGGTTTTGCCTCCTCAAAACCTCCATTTTGCTCATAAGAAAATCCATCTTCTTCATATTCTGCAACAAAAGATGTGTTGCAGGGAGCTGTAGTTGTTGATCTTTGTTGAAAACTTGACATGTTCACTGCATTATGGCTTTCTGAGCCATCATTTGAACCTTCTTGTTGTATGTTTGAAGTTCTTTGAATGTTCAACTTTGAAAACATTTTTGCTGCCTACATGTCCCACAATTTTGTCCCCAAAAACAGTTCTTATTTACATGAATTATGAAATCTTTGAAGTTGGTTTATCAATTAGTGAATAAAAGGAGTACATACATAGTTATTTGGTTCAGAAAATTCATCCTCTCCAATTTCAGCACCAGTGGTTTTCTTAAAGAGGCTAAAACCAAAACCACGCTTCGTGGGCTGCAATAAAAAATTGAATTTTTAAGAACAGAAAACAATGTGTCAAGATTTATAAATCTATTCAGAAAAACTCATTTTCAGAACCTTTTTCTGGTAACTTACAGGTGCTTTTGGAGGTTTCTCTAAGTCTGGGATGTTCCCATCCATGTCCACAGATGAATCCCGTGTATGACGATTTTGCCCTCCACCTTTTCGCAAGATATCTTTCGAGGTCTAATTCGGTTCAAGAAACAAGAACATAACTGAGTTTATAAAAACTGAAAACAGAGATTTGTGGAGTAGAAAAGTGTAAAATTTTGAGAAGCACCAACCAGATTGGAGACAAAAGATGATAACTGCTGTGGTGGATGCCATTGAAGTTTCTTGAAGTTTAACCCTTTTGTTGTTCTATTTTGGCCATTAGTAGGATCCTCCTCATATGTTCTTGGGTTTTCTGATTTTATTTTATTGAAAATAGTTGCATCACTAGCAACTGTAACAATACCAACAAGCTCACCATCTTCATATAATGGACTCTTGTTTACTAAAGCCATGAATGTCACACCCGATCTCTTCCTGAAAGGAAATTGACCTGCCCAACTTTGACCAGACCTCACCCTTTCCAAGATCTTCTCTGAAGATGTTTGAAACTCATCATAAATAAGTAAGTCTGTGACTGTTTGCCCAAGCGCCTCATAGTCCTCGTAGCCAAACAGTTTCTCAGCAGAACGATTCCTGGAACATATGGTGAACTTTCATCGAACACTTGGATGGCATTACTCATCAACACAATACATACTTACTATTAGATAAGATAACAAGCTTTCCAGTTTGCATAAACATAGAGAAATATAAAATCCATAATCTCATGATCTTTCCCTTATATTTAATCACGAGATTATCAATGTTCAAAGATTGGGAAGTGGGAACTACATATATATCGCATTATACTATAAATTAAGGAGTGTTTTTGATGATACAAAGGATTTTGTATCGGATTGGAAATGATCGAGCTGTAAAATAGCGACACCTTTTTCAATTACTGTACTATGAATTCAAATTTTGTAACAAAATTTTTAAAAACATGGAACGAATTCAACTAAATTAGCTTAAAATTCGAAGTAGCTAACCAGTAAATGATCGTTCGACTGATAGCTTTGCTCACGTAAACAGCGTGACCTAACTGATCCAACGCTCTCTTGTACGAAAAACCCACGGGTAAAGCATCTGGGACATTACTCCAGCCTGAGAATGGCGACATACCGGATCGTGAAGGAATCACTTCTTTCTGAAGTAAACTTCCATGATTATAAGATGATGCATGTTCTTGCTCAAGCATGTGGAATTGCTCTTGGAGGTTGGCGTAACTTGTCTCCAAGCTCCGGCAACGGTCGAGGAGAAGTTGGTAAATCGGTGAATCATCACCGCCGCTGGTAGTATCCGCCGGAGCATAGCCGTGACTAATGGTTGACAGAGCCATATGAAATTGCTTCCTGGTGTGGCATCCATTGAGCGGGAGCTTCTATTGCATATATGCTCGAGCCTCAAAGTTGATGCAATAACCGCCATTGGAGCTGAACATAGCAAGTAGCAAAAGAAGTAATTTACAGTTAGCACCCTAGTTTTAGTGAAGTTGCATAATTTCCCCTTTACTTTTGATGTAAGGATTTAAATTGAAAATCATCCCTACATTAATTATTCTTCGACTTGCAATTTTAATTTCATTACTTTAGTTTGGTTTTTTTAAAAAGTAACAATATTGGCCAAACTAGTAACGTTAATATTGAATTATTATAAAAATGGGTTAGTCATTTAGTTAGTTGGCCAAATAGATAAATTAAACACAATCATATTGATTATATCGAACTATTAGTAGTTTTGGATAAATTTGAGCCTTTTAAATCTTTTTTTTGAGTTGAATGATATATGATAATTTGTATTATTATATTTCAGACTGATAATGATGTTAACAAGATCAATGGAGATATGTATTGATTTTCGATTTCTTGTTTGTTCAAAAGACATGAAATGTTCTTATTTTTATCACCAAAATAGCAACAATAACATCTCTAGTCTTATCATGTATAACGAATGCAGCTATCAGTTTTTTTAGTTAGAATTGTTATTCTATATAAAAAAAAATTAATAGATTCTCGCATTAGTACAACTAGCCAAATTACTCATGTCTTGTTGGTTTCGACCAACTTGTGCACACCCCTAGTTTTGGTTCATAGAATAGGATTTTTAAAATCAACTTTAGTCTAGAGGCTAGATATGTATACGTAACAACTTTGACAAGTTACGTACCCACACAATAAAATATAACTACAATTTGTACTTATATGAGATATTTTGTAATGTTGCATCATTTATTATTTAAATAAGATTTTGCGGTGGTTTGCATGGTGCACATTAAAAGCTGTGATATGGTATTTCTATCAACTTTATGAAGGTACATGAATTGTCATTTATATGGGTGTATGTTGCAATCACTTGTAGATTCAAAAGTGACATGCATAATTTTAAAATGTATTATGTCATATTTTGATTAACTTTATAAATGTTTTTGTTTCAACAAGACATATATATGGTCATTTGAAATGATTAGATCCAATTTTTTTAACTAGCTTACTAGTTAGATAATATTCTTTCTCACAAATTAAACAATTTCATGATACGCTGTATCATATTTTACATCAACAATTTCACCATTTTAGATATCATTTTCGAGATCATTCAGTAACTTTGTTGCAAGTCCACCATACTATATGGGGTTGAAATGTACATGATGAAATTACATGGTACCAAAATGTGTAATTGGCAAGTGGGATACTTTAGTCTTTAGCACAGAAATTATTGGGTAAAACGTGGGGCTCACGTGAGACATTGAAGTTGCCGAAGACTAAAACTAATAAATGGATGACACGTCTACTAAACTTGCTATTTTTGACAAGTTTCATCGAGTCTTGGCAGCCTAACTCGTGGACTGATAGGGCAAGTGAACGCCGTTTACTTTCTACTTTTGTTCTTGTTTACATTCGAGAGCGGTAATAAGGTGACCACGTTTCATATTTTCTGAAATAATAAACTATTTGGAGGGTGTTTGTAGTTTTGTCGAAATGAATGGATCAAAAGGTTTGGGTAACAGTTTCGAATCAAAGACATATTGATTTTAGAATGTGTCGAAACAAACAAAGTCGGGTTTTGTCAATCCATAAAGGTTTTTTTTGTTCCACTTGAGTTTAAACATAACCGTTTGAACTACTATCAATTTTAAAGTAGGGCCATTTATCATTAAAATAAGATGATTAGTTTACTAATTAGATAGTCAACCTTAGTCTATTCAAATATTTGCATTGTTCAAAGTAGATAGCCTTTCTAGATCTGTAATATTATACTATTAGTAGCAATTTAAATGTAATTAATGAATTTGAAAATTGTGAAACTCTGGTATTATGGAATATGGACCACAACATTAGGTATGAAGTGAGCATTGTCGTTCAAACAATCTGACTATGACCCAAACATAATTGTGACATTGCAAAGTAATAGACAAATTTGTCAAATTGATACATATAACACTCATCAACAAACAAAATCGTTATAGCCGTCTTAGGGCTTGTATCCTAAGAGCGATCTTCGAAGATTATGTTAGTAACAACATGGTTGTTAGAATCCCGATCTTTATCTTAAGAACTTACGTTTTTAAGATCTTACAAGACAAAAACGATATCAATCTCACTATGATCTATTTGAAATAATATCTATAGTGAAATTTTAAGATCTCAGCTAGGATCTTAAGATATTAACATGATTTGGTCCCACATCTTTAGTTTTATTATATTGTTGAGCCTTAAAATCGGCCTATTCAATTTGAAATCAAGCATCACAAGTTTCAAGAAGTCTCATAGACTTTTATCGATGCATTTCAAATTGAGCAATTCACGCTCATTATATTCTCTTTGCGATTTTAATCCTTTAGTTGTACATGATCGTAATTATCTTGTTTGTTTTTGTAATTTCTTCCTAACTTTTACAATTCGTGGCAACAAATATTATGGTTCATGTTTGAAAAATTAAAGTTAACTCCATATCGATGTCTTAATCAACATCATGCTATAATGTATATTGCACACCCAATACTTTATACATAAATTTTAATATGAATTCATTTTGGTAGGATCTTACGATCCTGATCCGATCTCACGATTACAGTCTTGCAAAACATAAAATGATCTTAAGTAAGATCCTGGTATTGACAACCTTGAGTAAAGATACGAAATGACGATTAGGGTTAAGTGTTTCTCACTTAACCCATTGACTTAATCCATTAAATCCATCACTCTTCTAATTAAATCCATTCCAATGGCCCAAATGTGGGTTCCGATAAGTCCAAGCTCATAAATCCAATATAAGGGTTTTCTAAACCTTAATTAGGGTTTCCAAACCCATCTTAGCCCAACAGGCCCAATAGATAGGTATTTTGATCAATTAGGGTTCATTAGACCCATTAGTCACATGTTTGGGCTTTTAGGTCCATTAAGGCTTAATTGGGCCCATTAGGGTTTATTAGGCCTATTAGGGTTTTAGTCCCCTTGTCCAAACATCCCAAACGAGTCCAAAACACAAACGAGGCACACCGCCACCCAACACGGCAGCCGATGGCGACATGAGGCGGCAGCCACCACCCTACGATGGTAGTTTGAGTTTTTCTTTTCATCATTTCATTTTTTGTTACAATATATAATGCTAAACCCCAAAGAACATACACACACTAATACAACACACACACACACAGCCACCTTGTGGTGGCCAACGGTGGTACGTGGTGGCGGTGGCTATCCTGATTTTCCAGCTAGACCAAACACGTACTAACATAAATACATACACACACCCGCTATATGGTCACAAAACGACCCCAACCACCCAGCTGGTGGCGGAAGCGACACAAAAAGGCGATAGGAGTGGCGGTAGAAGGCACTTAGTCCTCGTTGATGCAGAAAGAGCAACCGACGTCGCTGTGGACGAAAGTCGTGACGTCCGGCGGTTATTTCGTCTTCACTAAAGCCGGGCAATAGCAGTTCTCGGTTTCAGCTTCAGTGATGCAACAGTGGAGACGATGGCTATCGGGCTGATGATGCAAAAAGCGGCTGATGGCGTTGGCTAGGAAATGGCATGCTCGTCGGACTCGCCTGATCGGAACCATGAAGAAGCAGTGACGGCTTAAGAAGGAGAAGGAGAAGAAGGTTGACGGAGGCTCGATATTCGCTTAGCGGCTTAGATCACACGACACTGGAATATCCCAGTGCTCCCCTACGATCTGTGACCTCGACAGCGGAGTAGCGGCGGCCAAAAGATGGCGATCGGATCTTGGGATGCAACGACGACTGGGATGTAACACCCAAAATCAGAAAGGTCAAGAAAGGGAAGAAAACCTAAGTCAAAGGGTCAACTCGTCGAGTCCAGGGAGGAACTCGACGAGTCGGAGCGGGATCCGGGGAATCAATTAAGTAACCGACTCGGTAAGTCGGCAAAGGGGACTCGTCGAGTCTGGTCTGAACGAGGAAAACCCTAAATCCAGGACTTGGAGCCTATTTAAACGTCTTATTCTCTTCCTTAGGGTTCCTTTACTGCCACTCTAACCCATAACACCAAACCCTAGCCACCATATCCGTTTTTGGGCTAATTCTTGCCTTGAAGAGTGCATTAAAGCTTGGAGAAGGAAGAAGGATCTTGGAGGTGCGAGAAGGGGCTATAGATTCGGGATTGGGAGGACATTTTAGAGCATTTGGAGGTAATAAACTAGTACTTGGACTCCTTTGCATCTAGATCTATCTTGGTTATGAGTTTTGGGGCTTTTATGCCATGTCCTTGAATCATTTTGAGTTGGAGCCCAAATATGAAGTTGCTACTTCAGATCTAAGTGTATTCTGGCCTAGAAAATCATAAAGCATCAGTCTTTGGGTTGGTTGTTAAGCCTCTTTGTCTTAAACCCTAGTTTGTAGTGTTTTGATCCTTGATCTCCTTAGTTATATGTAAAGTTTGCAACTTTACATGGGGAATGGCCGTACCGGGTAGGTCGGCACCCCACAATGGCCGTACCGGGTAGGTCGGACACCCCAGAAATGTATGGCAGTATGTATGTGATTTTATTGTATGGTATGTGGTATAATGGGGGGACTCACTAAGCTTCGTGCTTACAGTTTTCAGTTTTGGTTTCAGGTACCTCTTCAACGAAGGGGATGGAGCTGGCGTGGTAGCGGCATATCGTACACACACATTGGATTTTCGCATTATGAGATGTTCTGGGATTGTACTCTGATATTATTATTATTCTCATGTTTTGGGTTTTCAGACACGAGATATGTTTTATGAAATGATATAATCGGATGATGTTTTACTACAAATATTTTACAAACCACTTATTTTAAATGAAATTTTTGGGTGTGAAATTTGGGTCGTTACAAGTTGGTATCAGAGCCCTGGTTTGAGGGATTCGGACTCGGGAGTGTCTGAACTCAAACCGAGGGATTAAAGGATTTCGAAAAAGAAAAAGT